TGTGAACACACATGCAGACCTGACACCCAGCACATAACAGACTGTACATGTGAACACACATGCAGACCTGACTCTAGTACCAGGGGACTGGATGTGCCTCCCTTGGTGTGCATGGAGCTGTGCCATGCAACACGGGAGCCACTATTCTTCAGATTCAACCTGATTAAAATGCAATTTACAATTCAGTTCTTCTACCACCCAGACATACTTCCAGTGCTCAACAGCCTCCGCATGTGAATAGAGACCTAAACGGCAGACATCACACACACAGAGAACATTTTCATCAACGCAGAAAGTTCTGCCAGGGCTGTTCTAGGGCCATGGTTCTCAACAGGGGCCAATTTGACCCCCTCGCCAAGCACCGGGCAGTGTCATCACACCTTTGTGCTCATCACATCTAGGGGCTACTAGCACCAAGTGGGTTGAAGCTAGAGATGCGCCTCAACATTCTTCAGTGGCCATGACAGCTCCCACCACAAACAATGACCTAGACCCGAACAGCAGCAGTACTGAAGTGGAAGCCCTCACAAGACGTATGAGGGCATCTGGACAGGAGGTAGGGGTCATGAACCCACACAGGTGCAAGGAGGATGTGCCCGTGGAGTTGGTGGGTTGAACCTGCCGACCTTCTTGGTTACCATTACTATTGTTGTTGTTAGGTGCCATCTGGTCAACTACAACACACAGCGACCCTATAACAGTGGATCTGAACGTTGCCCTGTCATATGTCAATCATCCTTATCATCTCTCAGACAAAATCATTGTCAACCCACCTCTTTGAGGGTCTTCCTCTCTTACACTGACCTCCCCCTCTCCAAGTACGATGTCTCTTACCATGGATTGGACCCTCCTCACAACATGCCCAACGTATATGAGACGGAATTGCACCGTCTTTGCCTCTAAGGAGCACCTTGGCTGCACTTTCTCCAAGATATATTGGTGTGTTCTTTTGCAGCCCCTGAGATATTCAGTACTTTTCTTCAACACTACAGCTCAAAGGCAATGATTCTTTTTCTAGCATCCTCATTCATTGTCCAACTTTCAGATGCATAGCAAGCAACTGAAAAGACCTCTCTGGTGGCTTAGTGGTAAGACATTATATTGTCAACCCAAAGGCGTACAGTTTGAATCCACTAGCTGCTCCGCCACAGAAAGAGAGGCAATCTCCTGTGCGAATTACTGCCTTTGAAAATCTGCTGAAGGGTCAGTTCTGAATCAATAATACACAGCAATATGTAGCAGCTCCTTGTTGTTATGTACCGTTTGAGTCAGAACCACGGCTGACCCTCCAGTGGGTTTTCAGAGGCAAAAAATCACACGGGAGATTGCCCCTCTTTCTCCTGTGGAGCAGCTGGTGGGCTGGAGCAGCTGCTGGATTTGAAGCAGCTTCTAGATTCAAACTGCGTATTATGAGACTTCACAGTATCAGCTCTGTACCTAGGAACTGTACTAGGAACTCTACCAGAACTCTGAATTACCAAAGCCGCCCAGCAGAGGGAGTTCCCATTCTGAGGCACATGACAACAAGCAGCAGAGGACAGTAGTGTAAATTCTAACAAAGTGCATGGATGGCATGTCCACGGAATCGGGGTCCTTTTCTAAGCCACAGCGGCACTGCATGGGCTAGTGGACACCTTGAATGGGAGTGGAGGTCCACGTCACAGCCTTGTCATGTGCACACATGAGTGTCCGTGATTGAGCTGACACATGGGTGTGAACTCTCTCACACACACGCGCGCACAACACACACACACACACGCAGTCAGGGCCCAGGAGACCGTCCACCATCACCCCAGCTCGCCTACCAAGCTCATCCACTGCATTGACATCCGCGTGGCTGGCAATGAGTTCTTCCACCATGCCCTCCACTGCCAGGCGGGCCGCCAGGATCAGTGCAGTGGAGCCGTCTGCCATGCGGGCATCCAGGTCTGTGGAGCGGTTCCGGATGAGAATCTGAGAGGGAAGATGGTGCAAAATGGGGGAGTCAGGGCAGAAATTGGGGAATCCAGATTCCCAAGGCCCCACCAACAACAACCTCCACAAGCCTGGAATCAATCAGAGAGGTTCGCAGCCGCCGGACACTGTATTCCTGATTATGCCCACTTGATGAATGAGACCCAGAGTATCTCAGTCACTGAGTGGCAGAACCAGGTCTCAAACCCAGGTCTCCCCAAGCCTGAAGTCCAAGAGCACAGGCCTATCTCACCTGGAAGACACCCTGGGCGTCGGCGGTGACAGCTGTGTGCAGGGGTGTGCGGCCTGAGTGGTCCTGGGCATTGGTGTCCGCCCCAGCATCCAGCAGCCGCTTGGCCGCATCAGCCCGGGCGTAGCGGGCAGCCAGGTGCAGGGCCGTCTCACCAGTGCGGTCGGTCTGTGCCCCCAGCTGGGCGCCCTGGCAGATCAGGTCCGAGATGATGCTGGCCGATGTGTCATCACCCTCATCCTCCTCAGCCGGTATCGGCTCCAGAGCCCCCCCACAGAAGGAGGCCAGCATTAGCGGAGTGAAGCCATCTGTGGGGTCAGGAGCGCATCGTGAGCGAGGCCGGCAGAGGTCGGGCCAGGCAATCACAGCTCCACATCAGCAGGAAGTGGGGCAGGTGGGAGCCCAAGGAGGAGACGCTTGGCCTCCCATCTGCACACATTTGAGTCAGGTGTCCCTGAGCCAGCAGGGGGTGATGATTTGACACAGAATGGTCCTCGGGAGCAGGGGATATGGAATTAGGAGAAACCAAGGAGAAAAACAAACTGCAAACACACACACACACACACACACACACACACGGGATCCACTTTAGCCTGATTCTGAGTGGGCTTGTACCAAAGTACAAAGCTTTCATGCTCTGCTCTCCAAGTGCATTGCTCCTGAGGACTGAGGGGCTTCCAAAAAGAGCCAGAGAGAGGGGAAAAAGCAAACTGAAGCTGGAATGGGACTACTCTAAAACGAAGAAGGACAGATCCAATAGGATCTGGGCAGCACAGTCAGCTACACACAGCACAAATACCACTTCTGTTCTCAGGGAGCCACACATATCTCATCCCATTCTCCATCCTGGGTAAAGTCAACAATCCCCCATCCTCATCCTCACCCTCACCCCCACCCCACATCCCACCTCAGAGTCAGGCTTGCAACCCAGACCCACTTCATTTGCATAGTCTCTCCCTGTCACACTGATTGATTCAGCGCCGGACATGTGACCTTTATCTGTCCACTCGGAACTCATCCCAGAATTTTGGCTGGAGCTAGTGCCATCGTGCTGCCCCCACCACCGCCCCCGAAAAAGCCAGGTCACGTATGGGGCCACCATGGCTGGCCAGAAACTGAGCCAAAAAGTAAGGCGAGGAAAACCGAATCCTAAACCCAGATATGCCTGATGTTTCCAGTTCTGTAAACCTCCCATCCCCCCCCCTTTTTTTTTCACTTAAGCCAGTTTGGATTTTGTGATTTACAACCAACATTTCTGATTAGAAGCCCGGATCCAGCCTAGGCTCCCTCAAAACACAGACCCTCCTGAAAAAGAAGAGGCAGGTGCCATCGCTGACCTGGGCCGCGCACATTGACGTCCATGCCGTCGGCGTCCACGTCGCCCTGAGGTGGTGTCAGTGCCATGGCTGGGGCCACACGGATGTCCGCGGCAACCAGGTGGTGCTGAGTCCACTGGCGACAGTCCACAGCATCCTCAGCCCCCACACTGGGCTCTTCCACCTGTAAGCACAGGGACTCTTACGTGTGTGAAGCTGAGACATCCACTGGGTGCCCAAGTAACCCCAGCAGGAGCCCACGGGTGCAGCCCCAAGAGGAGATGGAGCTCAGGACCACTGGGGTGCATTTCTGGCCTGGGCACAAGGGGCAAAGTCAGATGCAAGCAGAGAACGGGATCTGTCTGGACCAGGGTGCTGGCTGAAAGAGGCAGGGCAGAACAGGGCCCATCCACCCATAGTTGACAGTGTTAGTTGCCTTTGAGCAGATTTTAACTCATAGTGAGCTCATGTATGCAGCGTAGAACTGCTCTATAGTGTTTTCAAGGCCATAGCCTTGCAGAGACAGATGGCCAGGCCTTTCTTCTGAGGTACTTCATTGGATAGACTCAAATCACCACCCTGGTAGTCTAATGCCAAGCCAACTGCACCACACAGGTGGGCCCCAAGGGCTCCTTCTGACACCACTGAGAAACATGAGAAGGAGCTGAACATCGTCTGGAATGTAGGGGATGGAACAGTAGGGGAACCGAGCATTCCCTGGGCTTTCCCACTGGCCACTGGGCCCCCCCCCACAGGACCCCGCAGCAGTCACAAGAGGGACAGACCTTCAGCCTCTTGGCCTCGGGGCACTCGGTGTCCATCCAGTCTGCGGCCACCTCCCCCATCAGACTCTCACCCTTGGCCATGTTCCTGGGGGGACAGTGGAAAGGGCAGATGGAAGAGGCGACACTGGAGCTGTGCCACCTCACAGGATGCTGGGGACAGAATCAGGGCTGAAGTCAGAGAGGCGAGGTCAAAGGTCTGGAATGGGACAGCTCGGTTGAGCACAGGGACAGGGTTGAGGCAGGGTCCCATGCAGGACTGAGGGAGGAGGTCGGCTTCCCGGGGCACACAGGAGTAGAACCAAAGGCAGGGCAGGGATGGGGTCCAGAGTTATGATGGGTGATGACTGGGTCTGATGGTGGAATGGGGGAAGGGACCACTGTGGGGTCAGGAAGCAGGAGAAGCGACAACTCGAAGCCAAGAGGAAATCATCAATAGCAGAGCCGACAGTCCAGGGTTTTGATGGGTGATGTTGGGGTCTGCTGGGATGAGCCAGGGATCACAGAAGATGCAGCAGAGGCGTGGGGATCGAGGTGGGGGGAACCTCACAGCAGGTGTGGGATGTAGCCAAAATGAAGGGTGGGGTGAAGGGTCATGGTCATGAGATCTGAGGTGAGGGATAAACTCGGGGACTGGAGGGGTGTTGGACATCTTGGGGGACTAATCAGGGAGTTGAAGGTAGGACCCAGGACCAGGATGAGACAAAGGGTCATGGGCTGGAGATGTGCTATGAGATGGGGTCAAAGGTCAGGGTAGTTTGGAATTGGGGATCACGGAGATTATGGGGATCAGGTAAAGGTGCAGAGAGCATGAGGTCAGCAGTCATGTGGGAATACACGCTGAATGGCAGGGTGACGTCTAAGAGGCTAGACTTAGGGTGGAGTTGGGGACAAGGCCACAGTCAGCGGTCAAGGGTATGAATATTGAGGTCAGGATAAAATTTGACATTGAGTCAGAGATCAGCGTCAGCTCAAGGTGGGGACAGGGTGCAGGCAGGTCCTCACTTCATGCCCAGCGCATCCTGGCCCACAGGCTCCCGCCGGCCCTTGTGGCCTGCAACCACGTCCTTGTGCAGCGCGAAGCCCTCGGGGAACCACAGGGTACTGTGCTCACGCTTGCGTCGGGCCACCATCACACCCAGGAGCAGGATGACCAGCAGGAAGACGGCGCCCGCGGCCAGCAGCGGCAGCAGCGGCACGCTGGGCTCTGGCAGCTCCAAGGGCTCCGCTGTGGGAAGAAGCAGGGCTCCAGCTCCAGTGGGGTCCCCACCCAGGCCCCCAGCTTCCCCACGCTGCCCTGGGCATGGCCTCACCCCGCACAGCCCGCAGCGGGTATGGGAAGTCCAGGCGCTCCACTGCCGACAGGGCGCCCAGGTAATCGGCTGCGCTCTGGGCGTCTGGGAAGCAGTGGTCATTCTCCAGTGACTGCAGGCACAGCCGATTGTCAATCTCCAGCATGACCACAGAGCTGCGGATGAAGGGACAGACAGGACGATGTCCAGACTAACCAGTGGTCAAGTCTTTGCAAATCTTTTAAGACATCATAAGAAATATTATCAACCACGGGGTTGTAGTTAATTGTTGTCAGGTCAGTCCTGGGTCATGGCACCCCAAGTGTGTGCTCCAAAGGGCTTTCAAGACTGTGGCCTTTGGCAACTGATCACCAGGCCTATCTTCCAAAGAGTCTTTGAGTGGGTTTGAACTGCCAGCCTTTTGACTAGTAGTATAGTACTTAATCATCTGCATTATCCTGGGCCTCCACATCATAGTGCTTTTGCAAACTTGTAAGATGTGCTGCTAGAGATGGAACTATGTTATAAATCTTAACCCCTGTACCAGTGGACAAGGAGTCCCAGGGTATCACAAAAGGCTTGATTACCTGTCAAAAGTAGGTCTGTTTAAACCCACACAGTGGCACCTTGGAAAACAAGCCTGGTGGTCTGCTTCTGGTTGTTGTTGTTTTGTTTTGTTTTTTATTATTAATTTTAATAGACATTTACAGAGGTTTTGGATTTCCATTCATTCATTGCCGCACTTTTCTCCCTGCCCACCCCTTCCCACCAGCTCGCTCCCCCCTCCGAAGAGAAAAAAAAAGGAAAAAAAATACTCCTTCATTAGTATACAATTCCTACATCACTTGCCCCCCACCCCGAGTACACTTCCCTATGCAACCTTAATTCTGGATTCCTGTGCTAACCATAATACTCAATCATATATCACCTCTAATCTGTTTTTTCCCTCATCTGTTTCAATACAATATACATAATTTATCCAGTTTTTTCTGTCATACCCCAACCCTGATGTCAGACCCATTCTACATCAGTGGCACCATGCAGTATTTATCCCTTTGTGACTGAGATATTTCACTCAGCATAATGTCCTCCAGGGTCACCCACTTTGAATAATATTGCATGAGTTCCTTGTTTTTCAATGCGGCGTAGTATTCCATTGTGTGGATATACCACAGCTTCTCTATCCATTCATTTGTTGATGGGCCCTTAGGTTGCTCGCTTCTGTTTATTTTAAAGTTTTTTCCCCCTTTTCTTCTTATTTACCAAATCAGATCTGACTAGCACAGGAGGAGATTGCCTCTCCTTCTCCAGCAGAGCATCTGGTGGATCTGAACCACGCACCTTCAGGATTACAGTGCAGCTTCTTTGCCACTAGGCCACCAGAGCTCCCTGGTGATCTGCTTCTAAAAGGTCACAGATTTGAAAATCCTGGGGAGGGTTCTATCCCCTCTCCATGTGGTACCAGGAGGAACAATGGACTCGAGGACAAGATTGGCCAGTGGTTCATTTTCTATTCTTCTTCCTCATCCTCCTCATAAAAAGCCTCAATGTGATCTGTCTGCATTGAGCTGTTTGAGTCTTTTAAGAAACAGTAATTTAAAAAAGAAAAAACCCAAACGCAGTAGCCCTTCTCTGTTTGTTGAGAAACCACCGAAATAAACCCTGTTTGTTTTCTTTTAGCACCGTGGATTAAGTATCGGGCCGGTGATTTGAACAAGAAAGAGAAGTAGTCTGCTTCTGTAAAGATCTGCAGTCTTGCAAGCGTTCCATGGTGTGACTGTTCCATAGTTCACACAATGGAATACTATGCAGCACGTAGGAGCAATGATTTTGTAAATTACTACCTAGCATGGGAGGGACCGGAGAGCATTATGCTAAGTGAACTAACTCAGTCTCATAACGACAAATACTGAAAAGGACCCATTATTGTAGAGCACGTAGCACTTACGAGGATCGGGGCGGGGAGAGCTTAAACATAGTGTTGCACAATTTGGTAGGTGGTGGGAGAGATAGATAAAGAAAAGGGGAAAGGTCAGGTGTGAAAAACAATAAATGTATATGAACTTTGTATGTAAACCAGTATAAAATAATTTTTTTTAAAAAAAAGCCTACAGTCTTGGAAACCCTGAGGAGCAGTTCCACCCTGTCCAGTCGGGTTAAGACAAGTCTAAATCCATCTGACGGCTATAGGTCTGGTTGGTTCGGGTTTGGGGACTCTACGTTTTAACAGGAAGGACAAGCAGCTCACTGTCATCTTCTCACTCCCATCCCAGGCACAGAGCTATCTCCCCTGGCCAGTCCTCTGTCCCCTCTACTGTTCACCCTGCTGAACCCCACAAACAGTCCTTGCTGCAGCCAGCACCAAGCTACTGAATCCAATGGACATGTTTTCTGACCAACATCTCAAGACCGACTGACTGTTCCTCTACGTGGATGCAACTCGTTCTCTCCTGGGTCTCCTGTCCCAGGCTGAGTGCCCCTTTCTCCGCTGCTGTGAAGGTCAGTTTCTAACAGCTTCCAGCTGCACCCCCTCCAGAAACCTGTCCTCAGCAAAACAGTGACCACCAAACTTGGGACTGATATGAAGGTATAAAAGGCTACCTCAAGGTGGAACCAACTCCGGGGTGCGGTATTTATAGATTAAATACTACATTAATTAGTGCCCTCTGACTCCCAGAACTGAGAATAAAATTGTGCTCTGTTGCTTTTCAGTGGTTTCAGCTTTGTGACCTTCTGAAAGTACTTGGGGGGAGGAATTACATAACAGTGAAAGACTTTTTCTTTTTCTTTTCAAGGAGAAGAGTGAATTGGGGGGAGGGGGTGGGCAGGGAGAAAAGTGCAACAATGAATGACTGGAAATCCTAGGTCTCTAAACTTTCATTAAAATCAATTTTTAAAAAAAAATCCTAAAAAGTAGATGGTGCCAGACGTCTACAGATGGATTCGAACCACCAACCTTTGATGCCACTTAATGGTTTGTACCAAGCCAAGAACTCCCTTACAAGGCATGAAGTTAAAGAAACAAAGAGACAGGGATCCAGCGTCCCTCTTCTGTTCAGAGCTCTACTCCACACACCTCTGGCCAGGTCTGTGGCAGTGCGACAGAGGGGCCAGCTGGATGCAGGGGTGAGGAGGACATATGGCCTCATTCATAGGGACTGAGTCAGAGTGGTAGGAATCACAAGCAGGTAGGTGGGTCCTGGGCAAAAGGTTACACAGCAGGGCAGGCCGTGGTCACTCACCCGATCACCTCTGGGATCAGCTCCCGTCGCGCCCGAGGCTCCTTGCCCGGCCGGTGGTAAGGGAAGACCATGGCCTGTCCGTTGCCATCCAGGCGGAAGCGCAGCGAGGTGCGCAGGATGGCGCTGAGCCGCTGCAGGAAGTCGGCGCTAGAGCGCAGGAGCTCCTCGGGCGGCAACAGCACCGTGAGCACCAGCACCCCACGCGCCAGCAGCGCGGGCACCTCACCCGCGCAGTCCAGCCCGTCCCAGCCGCACTCCTCCGTGTTGCAGCCCTGGTCACAGCGGCCGTCGGCGAAGTGGTCTGCGCAGTACTTCTCATACACCGGGCTGGGGGAGGGGGGCGATGGATAGAAGAGACTAGTCAGGGGATCCCCGTGGACCTGGAGTATCCAAGGACGTGCCAGGCTTTCCAACAAACCCAAATATTAACATAGTAGCATACTAGTAACTCAAGACAGTCAGTCGCAGTCAACTTCTGGCTAGCCTGTGCACAGAGACCCATAATAAGTGGATGAGGGAGATGGCCAGAAGCGAGATCCATGGGTGGTGAGATATGGCAGATGGACAGACAGAAAGGGTAAACTGATAGAGGTGGTTGGACGTGCCATGCAAACAGGCAAACTAGGCAGGTGGATGAAAAGACTGGGGGGGGCGGGGTGGCCAAAAGCACAGAAGGACGGACGGGGTACACGGGCTGAGAGGCAGGGCCCATGCGCAGTCAGGATCCAGATGCACGCACAGAAGGCCCGGCGGACAGAGGGACGCGCGGGAGGACGCACTCACTTGCAGGTCCGCTCGCGGCCGCCCGAGCGGCAGTCGAAGTTGTCGTAGAGGCAGGCGGGCGAGCTGCAGGCCGGGTCGCAGCGGCTGTTGTTGAAGAGGCGCCAGCACTGCAGCGCCGCGCACTGCCGCCAGGGGTCGCCCACACTCAGCGAGCAGTCGCCGCCGTCCCAGCCGCAGCCCGGGCTGTTGCACTCGCGGTCGCAGCGGCGGTCCCCGCGCTTGGCGCGACAAGCTGCCAGCGGGCACCGCGGCTCCTCGGGCGCCTCGGGGGCCGCGGTGGGCACCTCGCAGCGCGGCCCAGCCCAGCCCGGCGTGCACAGACACAGGAAAAAGGGGGCCAGGGGCGCGGGACGACAGGAGCCGCCGTGCAGGCACGGGGTGGAGGTGCAGCTGGCATTGGTGGCTCCGCCGCCGGGCGGCGACCCGCGGGAGCCCCGGCAGGTAGGTCCCGAGAGCCCTGGGGGGCAGGCGCAACGCGGACCACGGACTGTCTGCTGGCACGGGATGCCCACTGGGCAGTGCAGCTCGCGACAGGATCGTGCAATCCGCTCGCACCGGGGGCCCCAGAAGGGCTGGGGGTGGGGAGAGAAGTAAAAAGTGGGGGTAAGATAATAAAGAAAAGAGAAGGAAGAGAAATGGAAGGTGGAAGACAGAAAGAGAAAATAAAGGGAGGCTGGAGATCAGGACTTGGGAGAAGTTCCCAGCCTCCCCAGGCCACGTCTAACCTCCCTCTCCTCTTCAATGGAAGCCCCACCTGGCAGAGAAGCCCACCTTCCCCTCCCCGTCACACCCCTACAGCCTCCAGAAAGCTCCACCCTTTCTGCCCCGCCCCTAAAGGCAACCCCTCCCCCAGAAGCGCCCCTCTCCAACCCTTCAACCTACTGGGACGCAGTGGCAGAGGAAAGTCAGCGCACCCCCTGGGCTCGGACTAGGGTGACACTGGCCTCCGTGTTGGCACGGCTGGGATTCGCAGGGTGACAGGACGGTCTGACAGCGGGGACCTGGACAAGGAGGGGGGAAGCTGGATCAGCCATGTGGGGGCAACGACAGGCAAGGGCCCCCGCCCAGCCCCTCTCTCAGGCTTACCTGTGAAGCCCGCATGACAAAGGCAGTGGAAGCCCCCACCTGGGTCCTGCAAGCAGTCCCGGGTGTGCGCTGAGTGGCAGGTGCCAGGGCGACATTCATTGATGTCTGCCTCACAGCGAAGGCCGGTGTAGCCTGGGGGGCAGGTGCAGCGGAAGCCTCCCACCAGGTCCACACAGGTGCCATTGTGGAGGCAGAGGGCTTCGGTATCCTGGGTCAGGCCTGACCCACAGTCATCCTCGTTGATCTCACAGAGCACACCTAGGGAAGAGGGACAGTCAGGGGCAATGGAATCCCAGGCACCATCATGTCCCCAACCCTGGCCCTGGCCGTCTTAGCATACCCAGTGTCCCAGGGGGGCAGGAACAGAGATAGCGAGCCACCAGGTCGATGCAGGAGCCCCCATTCTGGCAGGGCTGAGAAGCACACTCATTGACATCGTCCTCACAGTTGTCACCAGTGTAGCCAGCGGGGCACTGTGGCATAAGGGCAAGATGGTGACAAATTCATAACACCCAGTGAGGACATGAGGGAGGGGCGAGAGGGACCCGCAGAGAGGACACACACAGACATCCAACCCACACCAACACACCTAGTGTGCAAGACACACACACCCACCCAGCCCAGAAGGACGGACACGCATACTCAGGGACAGTCACAGGAGACACAGCCAAGACACACACCCAGACGCTGCCACATGTAGATACGCCCAAAGACGATACCAGAGCCAGAAATACAGATACACCCAGGAAACAACTAAAGACAGAGGCACTACAGACAGACAGACAGGCACCTCCAGATCTACCCAGACAACTTTAAAAACAACATGGTTGCTATTTAGTCAACTTTGGTTCACTGGCAACCTGATATGTGTTAGAGTGGAACACTACCCTCCCCCCTCCCTTGCTTTCAAAGGCTGATTTCCCAGAAGTAGATGGTCAGGCCTTTCTTCCCAGGAGCCTCTGGGTAGACTTGAAACTGCAATGAATCATTTACACCTGCCAGAGATTTCATCTGAAGAATGAGACTTACAACCACACAAGACCAAAAGGCAGCATCATGGATTTAACTGTCCCCCAAAAGTGATGTATTTAAGGATATCCTGTGGCATCTATGTAATAATCCCCCATGATCTAAACTAAATACTTTAGTTGAACTAAATGGTTGCAAAAAGATTAAGGGTGGAATGCAACACTCTTAATCCAATGTGAAGGGAGTTTCCCTAAGGTGTGACTTCTAATGCCTATTTATTATTATTATTATTAAATTTTAATGAAAGTTTATAGACTTTGGATTTCCATTCATACAGTTGCGCATTTTTCTCCCTACCCACCCCTCCCCCCCAGTTCGCTTTTCTCTTTTAAGAAAAAAAATTCCTTCATTGTTATATAATCATCTCCCTCCCAAGTCTACTTTACTATGCAGCTCTTATTCTGGACTCTTGTCATTATAATACCTAATCATATATACCTTTTAAACGGTTCTCTCCCTCATCTGTTTCAATGCAGTATACATTATTTATCCCCTCTTTTCTTAAGTTCCCCCCAACCCTGATGTCAGTCCTGTTTTACAACAGTGGCACTATGCAGTATGCAGTATTTGTCCTTTTGTGACTGAGATATTTCACTCAGCATAATGTCCTCCAGGGTCACCCATTTTGTAGAATATTTCATGAGTTCCTTGTTTTTCAATACGGCATAGTATTCCATTGTGTGAATATATATACCACAGCTTCTCTATCCATTCGTTTGTTGATGGCACTTGAGTTGTTTCCAACTCTTTGCTATTGTGAAAAAAGCAACAATAAACATAGGTGTGCATATATCTGCTTGGGTAGCAGTTACGGTTTCCTTAGGGTATATTCTCAGTAGTGGAATTGCTGGGTCAAATGATATGTCTTTTTGCAACTTTTTGAGAAAGGGCCATACAGCCTTACATAGTAGTTGCACCATGTTATATTCCCACCAACAGTGAATAGCGAGCGGTTCCAGTTTTTCCACAACCTCGCCAGCATTGGTTGTTTGCTGCTCTGTTGAATTTTGCTATTCTTACTGGGGTGAGATGATATCTCATAGATGTTTTGTAATGCCTTTTATCAAAGACCTAAAAAGGAGGAAATTGAGTTGAGAGTAGGGAACCACAGTACCACCAAGAGAGATTTACCAGAGATGGAGTGCGTCCTTTCAGGCCCGGCTCCTTGGCACCAGGGAGGGCCAAGATCTCCAGGGAACACCGAGCCCACAGATGCTGAAGGAAACAAGGACTTTCCTCCACAATCAACAAAGAAAGAGGGGTCCTTCTTTCACAGCTAGGACCCTAAATTTAGATTTCTAACTTCAAAACTGTAAGGGAAAGGGAGCTCTGATGGCCCAGTGGCAAGAAGCTGCACTGCAATCCCAGAGGTATGCAGTTCAAATCCATCAGATGGTCTGCTGGAGAAGGAGGGGCAACCTCCTCCTGTACCTGTCAGATCCGATTTGACCGTACACACACACAAAATAATAAAATTTTTAAAATTAAAAGAAAAAACCACACACACAAAAAAAACCCTGTAAGGGAATAAATGTCTGTTTGGTACAGTCATCCACTTGTAGTGTCTCTGTTACAGCTTCACTAGGTGGTCTACTGGGTAAGGAGTTGTACTGCCAACCCAAAAGCACGAGGTTTGAATCCACTAGCTGCTTCCATCGGAAAAGACGGGTAATCTCCTCCCATGTGATTTCCTGCCTCTGAAAACCCACTGGGGAGCCAGCTGTGAGTCTGTTCCACCGCAATGGCAAGCCACCACAGATAACTAAGACAACATCTGCCCAGAGATAAAGCTCAGAAAGCAGGAAAGGGTAGAAAAGAAAGATGAATAAAAATGGGAAATACAGGGAAGAAGTGAGACTACTGTTACAACATGGGGATTCTCAAGATGGTCATGCAACACCACAGGTGTGAACTGAATGGAAAACCAAGCTGCTCTGTAAACGTTCACTCAAAGCACAAAAAGTTATGGGGGGGAGGGGAGAAGACTTACAAAAATAAACCCAGAGTCACAAAAGCAAATACAGACACACAGATAGTGGCACACACTCATGCTGGGCTATTTCCGAAGCAAGCAGGTATAGCAAGCACCCTAATCCTCCCCAGGCATCCCTTACCTCACACATGTAGCCCCCCATGTAGTCTTGGCAGGTCCCCCCATGCTGGCAGGGCTGAGCCAGGCAGGGGTCCACCTCCTGCTCACAGTGGCTGCCCGTGCGGCCCTCTGGGCACAAGCAGTAGTGGGTGCTGCCCTCATCCATGCACCGCCCGCCCGCCTGGCACAGCTGCTCTGGCCGCACACCTGGGAAGATGAGGATGGCATGGGGCACAAGGGCAGTCATATATGCCCCCCTCCCTCCTGCATGACCCAGGTTGTCACACACCCTCCAGCTGGCACGCACACGCACTCTCTCACACAAGCATAAACACCCCTGCCAGCATCCTCCATGGCATTACCCAGCACCCCTGCTGGCATCTCATTAAAGTTGTCACACACACCCCCTGCTGGCACAGCCTCAATCACAGCCTCCTCCTCTCTGTGCTGACACAGAGTCTCCCAGCTAGAGCTGGGACCCTGAATTCCAACTTTCAGCTTAGCTTCCTGGCCTCTGAGAACATACATTTCTGTTTGCTGAGACAGGAGCATTATGGGAGACAAAGGCAGTCTCACATACAGTATCGCATACAGCACGCACACGTCCTCACAGGTTTTCAAAGACGCACATGCGTCTTCCAAGTCCACACCCCCCCCATCATGCATGCCTGCATCCTTGCACCATCATCAGCTCACACTAGCAGATGCACAGAACCCCGCCCCAAGTCCACTCTTCCCCTCACCCATCTGGGCTGCAGCCTCCCTGCAGGGCAGGCTCCTGATGTCACAGAGGCGGCCACTCCACCCTGGGGGGCACAGGCAGTAGAAGGAGGCCCCGGTCTGTGCACAGCGACCTCCGTTCTGACAGGGTGCCCGGCTGCACCAGTCTATGAGCGTCTGTGGGGAGGAAGGAGGGAGCGCTGAATATCACTAAAAAAACCCCTTAAAGCCACATCTGACTACCCCTCCAAGACCCAAGCAAGTTCGATGCCTGGGATCTCCAGCATAACCACTAGAACGCCCCGTCAGGACTCCACCCCTGAGATCTGAAGACCTCTGCCCAGGACCCAATGCAGCCGCCTATCTGAGAACACAGCTCCAGATCCCTTCCTCGAAAGGCCAGCAAGCTCTTCCCAACTATCCCTCTGCAGCCCGATCCCAATAGGATCTCTCTCAGGATCCCCAGCAAAACGCCCACCTGGCACTGGTTACCAGTGAAGGCCTGGGGACAGGCACAATGGAAGCCTGGGTTGGTGGCACTGCAGACGCCCCCATTCAGACATGGCCGTGACAGGCAGGGGTCGACCTCGTGTTGGCAGTGGGCACCAGTGTAGCCTGGTCGGCACAGGCAGCTGAACGAGTTCACACCGTCCACACAGGTGCCTCCATTGAAGCAGGAACTGGGGGGGGGGGGGACAAAGAGAGACACAGTGTGTAAGACCACCTCCACCTCCTCTCGGCCTGACCCTCCTGCAGGATCAGCTGTGAGAAGTCTCAGGCAGGGCAGGCTCATACTTCCTCCTTGGCCCCTCCTAGGTGCAGGGCCTCTGTCCACTCTCTGAGGTCCTCCCCCACGAGTTGCCGTCCTTTCGCTTATACCCAAATCATCTTCAATGCTAAGACACATAGAGGCCCTGCCCATCCTGGACCCCAATCTCAAGTTGAACAGCCAAATACTCACTGCCCCTTCCCAAGGCCCTGCCTCTTCAAAGCATCAGAGACCCAAAACTCCAAAGTTAAATGGTTTGTGTATTTGTGTGTATTGCAACGTACAGTGACCCTACACAGCATTCCCTGTGGCCCCACAAGGATTCCAAGGCTGTAATCTTTATGAAAACAAATTGTCGCATCTTTCTCCTGCACAGTGAATACTGGGTTCAAACTGCTAACCTTCCAGTTATCAGCTGGAGCTTGACGCACTGTGCCACCGGAGCTCTCAATAAATCACCCAGAATGGAAGCCAAAGCACCCAAAAACATGTTTCCCCATGTCTGGTGAGTCTCTCCTCAATTCTCAACTCTAACAGGAATTCTAAGAGGAGGTCCCCTTTCCCTCTGGCCCTGCCCACCTCTGGGCTCCAATAGAGGCCCTTCCACAAGGCCCCGCCCCATTCCTACATTCCAATAGAGGGCCTTCCTCAAGGCCCTGCCCCATCCCTGGGCTCCAATAGAGACCCTTACACAAGGCCCCGCCCCGATCACTAGGCTCCAATAGAGGCATTTCCTCAAGGCCCTACCCACCTCTGGGATCCAATAGAGACCTTTCCACAAAGCCCCGCCCCATCTCTAGGCTGCAGGCTCCAATAGAGACCTATCCACAGGCTCCGCCCCATCTCTAGGGTCCAATAGAGGTTCTTCCACAAGGCCCTGTTCACCTCTGGGATCCAATAGAGACCCTTCTACAAGTCCCCGCCCCATCCTGGGGCTCCAATAGAGACCCTATGTCCCTCAAACCCCGCCCCACCCCAAAACAGCCGAAATCTTCCCTCCACCCATACTCACTCACCTAGGGCTACAGTCTGGCATGTCCTGCTCGCAGTGGAAACCTCCGTAGCCAGGAGGGCAGGAACAAGTGAAGGAGGCCACGTGGTCTGTGCAGGTGCCTGGACCACAAGGGCTGCTCAGACACTCATCCACATCGTGGGCACATCGCGGGCCAGCGAAGCCAGGGAGGCAGGAGCAGGAGAAGGTGCCCACACCGTCCTGACACAAGCCACCATTCAGGCAGGGGTCTGTTGGCATAAGAGGGTCAGCTGCTCACTTGCTTTGTCCCCACTCAACTCAGCCTTCCCCTGGCCAACCCCTTGCACAGAAAGAGACTCAAAAACTCAAGTTCCATTGGGGAGAGGCCATATTTGGTCAAAGGGCTTAATTCTGACCCCTTCTATAGCTTCAGAAGAACTTGGGTGTGCAAGCAGTTCACATGCTCAGAAACTAACTAAAAGGCTGTAGTTCAAACCCACCCAGAGGTGCATCTAAAGACAGACTAAGAATTCTATTTCTGACAGGAAACAGCCTCGAAAACAATGTGGAGTGCATTTCTATTCGGCACGCATAGGGTGGTCAACAGGTTTAATTTAAAACTACATGTTGTCCAGAAAAAAGAAGCAAAGCAAATCATTAGTCCAGAGAACTAATGAACTACTCCAGCCACTGAGACCAGGAGAACTAGATGGTGCCCGGTGACCACCACTGACCACTCTAAAATGACTCACAGTAAAAGATCTTGAATATAGTCACTGAAAATGTGGAACAAACTCAAAAACTTTAAAAATAAAAAAGGGGGGGTGGGGGAGCCAGGTTTACTGGTCTAATAGAGACTGGTAAGAATCCCCAAGACTATGGTTCTTCATCATGTTTTGAACCTGGAACAAAACTTACTCCCATCACTCAACTTTTAGCCAAACAATAGACAGACCTAGAAGGAACAGTAAGGAGCCCAGTGGCATAATAGTCTGTAAAGAGCTGTGCTGGCAGTTCAAATCCTCAAGAGGTTCCAAAGGAGAAAGATGAGTAACCTCTTCCTACACTTCTGAAAAACCCGCTAGAGGGTGAGCCATGAGTCAGTTCTGAGGCAAATGAGTTGGAGTTTTCTAAGATAAAGAACAATAACACCTGAGGAGCCCTCGCCACTTAGAAAGATTAACAATCACATAAAGTCAAAAGAACAGCACTTGCCTATGGATTAACGCCAGAAGGCAGGAAGGAATAGGCCAGAGGATTAATGGAAATGAGACTCACAGAAAGGAAACAGGGAGAGTGCTTTTACATTATGGGAATTGTCAATGTGTATGAATAATTGAATAGAAAACCAATTTGCTTTGTAAACTCTATCTCAATCAAATCACAATAAACAAACGAATTGTACATGCTGCTTATTTTGATTATTTATGGAACAGTACTGCTGTCAGAGAGCTTGAACTTTAGGCTGAGTGCTAGCATGCTTTAGGCCAAAGACAGTACACACAGCTTGAATCAAACTCCAGCCCTAGTTCTTCCTCTTAAATTTCCATGTGACTTTAGGCAAGTCACTCTGGGCCTCAGTGTCAGGCACATAGGAAAAGCTAGAGGATCATGGCCCCTAGGTTAGTCGGCAGCCCCACCAAGAGCTCCCTGTACTCACTGGGGTCGCAGTCATCGATGTCCTGATCACAGAAAGGGCCACCATACCCGCTGTGGCAGGTGCAGCTGAAAGTTCCCGCCTGGTTGGTGCAGGTACCATGCGAGCCACAGGGTGAGAACCCAGCACATTCATCCACATCCTGCTGACATCGTGGGCCTGGGGGGCAGGGAGTAAGGAAATACCTAAGGTTAGAGGTGACAAGGAGTATGTGAGGGGCTCAGGCAAGAACATCGAGACTATTCCCCCTAGGGGATTTGCACATGGAATAAACACTCTAATGGAAGGCTGCTCTTCTTTGCGGGGTTGGGGAGGAAGACATTTATTTGCTGTCTAGTGAATTCCAACTCAACAGTCCTGCATGTAGAACCATGACCCATAAGGCTTTCAATGGCTGATTTTTTAGTAGATTGCCAGACCTTTCTTTGGAGCTCCTCCCCCAGAAGATCATGAACAGCCAAACATGTTCACTGTTTGCACCACCAGAAACTCCATTCCTCTGGGAAGCTGTACCCGAACTTTTAGCCCAAGTCTTAGCTCCCCCAGCTCTATTTATATCGCTTCTTTTACTCCAGCCTGTGTGAGACTGATAGCATCTGTATAGATGGTATAGCTATATAGGCATAGCTATATGACTGGTAGCTCAACCTTTGTTAAAAGGAGGCCTCCTCAAAGGCAAGGATGAGTGTGTTCCCTGTGGGTCCCTAGCATCTCCCCACACCAGACAGGGTGCACAAGAGGTGAAGGAAAGAAAGAAGAACGAAGCAACTGGTATACCTTGCCAGCCTGGAGGGCAGGAGCAGACAGCCAGCTGGCCAGGGGCAGACTCACAACGGCCCCCATTCTCACAGGGGTTTGGGGTGCAGGGGGACGGGAGCTCACATTGCTGGCCTGTGGGGGAATAGGCAGAATGAGTTGTTCTCATCTCCCTTTTTATATCAACCAAAAAAAAATTCTTGATAAAAGAGCAAGGGACAAAAGAGGTAAATGTAGATGAGGAAGGGGATAGGAGAGGAGGAAAGGGACACGCACCTTGGACACCAGGAGGACAGGTACAGTGGAAGCCTACTCCATCACTGATACAGGTGCCACCGGCCCTGCAGGGCTGGGACTCACAGGCATCCTGAGCAAGGCTCTGGTCACACCTGGGGCCACTCCAGCCAGTCTCACACACACAGCGGAACCTAGCAGGAGGCATTTGAGGGGTCAAGCAGGCCTGGGAGGTAAGGGGGGATGCCGGGAGCTAGGGAGAGGCCTCACCCGCCAGGCGCATCGTGGCAGACACCGTGACTGCAGGGCTCACGAGCACAGGGGTGGCTGGGCGGAAGGCAGAGTGGAGGCAGGGAGCCTGGGGGGCACAAGCAGCGGAAGCCGTTTTCTCCATCCACGCAGGAGCCTCCCTCAGCGCAGGGGCTAGAGGCGCACTCATTGATTTCCACATTGCAGAGAGGCCCTAGGGTGAGGGGCCAACACACAGACAAACTTGTCATCCCAGGACAAGAACAGCAAAGCTCCTCCCCCCAATGCCAGACATGGAGTTATAACCTTGCCCCCCACATCTTTGAGCAACGGTTTAATTGCATCTCTCCCCAAACTCATATCCACCTATGTGATAAAATGAATTGGATCTTCTCAAAATATAGATTGGAATCCTAACTAACTCCTATGCCTGTGGACATAATCCCATTTTGAGCTGATTTTGTTGTTGTTGTGAGTTTTTGTTTTTTTCATATGACATTTAGAGAGGTCTTCAAGCAATCCCTTCTGAGATATAGAAGGAGAGGGTCAGGCAAAGAAACAGGGAAGTACAAACTGGGGAAAGTCACCCATGTGGAGGACACCAAGAGATGCTGAGAAGAAAAGTTAAAAAGGATTTTTCCCCACATGGGACAAAGAGAGCCTTGTCCTAGAGCCAGTGTCCTGAATCGTAACTTCTTTTTGTTTGTTTTTTTGTTTTTTTCTTGTTGTGTGCTGTCAAATCGGATCTGACTGGCACAGGAGAAGATTGCCCCTCCTTCTCCAGCATAGCATCTGGTGGATTTGAACCCGTTGCCTTTGGGATTGCAGTGCAGTTTTTTTTGCCACTAGTCTACCAGGGCTCCTGAATCGTAACTTCTAATCTCCGAAACTGAGAAAAAATAAATTTCTGTTCAGTGAAGCACCCCCCCTTAAAGTTACAAGAGCAATAAGAAACTAAGACAATCTGTGAATGGGGCATCATTTAGATACAGAGTTTTTCAGATGTTATTTCAGCTTGCTTGGCTTCACAACCAACACTTTTGGCACCAGCAGTCAGGAAACCAAAAGACAAATTGCACTGGGAAAATCTGCTGTCAGGGACCTCTCCAGAGTACTGAGAAGCAACAATGTCAGTCTAGAGACTAAAGTGCCTGATCCAGGACATAGTTTTTGCAATTACTTGTTATGCATCAGAAGACTGGACAATGACTAAAGATGACAGAAGAGCTGATGCCTTTGAGCTGTAGTTCTGGAGAAGAGTCTTGAACATGGACTGCCAAGAAAACAAACAGGTCTGTCTTGGTAAGGGTGAAACCAAGTTTCTTCTTGGAGGCTAGGATTTTGAAACTCTGTCTCACATAGTTTTCACTATGGATTGAAGTTCAACATTAAGAAAACAAAGATTCTCACCACTAGGCCTATTGGCAGCATCATGATAGATGGTGAAGAGATTGAGATTGTTAACAGCTTTAGTTTGCTTGGTTCCACAAGCAACACTCTTGATACCAGCAGCCAGGAAATCAAAGTACAAATTTCATTGGGAAAGTCTGCTATCAGGGATCTCTCCAGAGTACTGAAGAGCAATCATATCAGACTGGAGACTAAGGTGCACCTGATCCAGGCCATAGTCTTCACAATTACTTGCTATTCATCAGAAAGCTGGACAATGACTAGGGATGATAGAAAGATAATTGATGCTTGTGCCAGAGAAGAGTCTTAAAAATACCATGGACTGCCAGAACAAACAGGTTCATCCTAGAGAGGGTGAAACCAGGCTGCTCCTTGGAGGCAAGGATTCTGAGGCTTCATCTGAGATACTTTGGTAATGTTGCAAGTAGGGACTAGTCCTTGGAGAGGAACATCATGCTTGGAAGGGTGGAGGGTCAGTGAAAAAGAGAAATACCCCCAAAGATGAGATGGATTGATTCAGTGACTGGGGTAATGAGGGTAGGTATGTCAGAGACAAGGTTGACATAGGATAGAGCTGGATTCAGGGCTATTGTACAGAGTTGCTATGAGTAGCATGCGATTTGACAACACATAAAAACAACTCACATACTTTGGATACATAAAAACAACTCACATACTTTGGATACATGGCTAGGAGAAGGACATCATGCTCGGAAGGGTGGAGGAAAAGTGCAGGAGAGGAAGACCCCAGATGAGATGAACTGATACAGTAAATGAGGCAATGGGGTTAGGTATGTTGGAGTCAGTGAGACTAGCTCAGGACAGAGGAGCGCTATGAGTTGCAGGTGACTTGATGGCACATAACAACAAAAAATGAGCTTAGATCATACTGAATAATACAAACCCATTGCAACTGGATTGCTTCTGACACATGGCAATCCTCTATCGAGTCTCTGAGGCTGTAAATCTGTAGGGGAGGAGACTGCCCAGCTTTCTCCTGCAAGAGCATCTGGCGAACTTGAACGACCTTTCAGTTGCCAGCTCACATTCACAACACCACCAGGGATCTTTTACTGAATAATGAATGATAGGCCATAAGCCCAATACAAAAGATGTCCTTACATGAGAAAGACTTGGAGACCAAAAGTTAAATAGACACATAGCAGTACAGACCACAAGAAGACAGAGGCAGAGACGGAAGCGATGTGTTTATAAGTCAAGGACATCACCAGCCACATCAGAAGCTGGAAGAGACAAGGACAAACCCTTCCCTAAAGCCTTCCGTGAAACATGGCCCTGTCCACACCTTGATTCTAGACATCTGGTCTCCAGAATGGAATGCATTTCTGTTAAGTCACTCAGTTTGTGATTTAACACATGGCTCTCATTTCAAACCATTTAAGCTCTTACAAGTCAGAACCTTGTCCCCCAAGACATAGTAGCCTTGTCCGTGACATCCTCATCCACAAATTTACACAAAGCCACTTCTAATTCCACAAATTATCATGGTGGCCCGATCCAAAGACAGACCCTCAACCAGCTGGATTGACACAGTGACTGCTGCAATGGACTTGAATATATCAGAGATGATGAGGATGGCACAGGACAGGACAGAGCTCAGATCTGTTGTTCACAGGGTCACTGGGAGTTATACTCAGCTTGATGGCACCTAACAACAACACTGCCATTCAAAGATACTCTGTCAATGAGTTTAGACACCCACACATATGCTTCAACATCTTTTTGATCAAACTCTAGGACTGCCTCATTCCAGAGAGAGATAACAAGACAACAGAATAAAAAGAGGACAATGAGCTGGCCAACAGAGCTGGGTGTCCTCATCATGCTGCAGGTAACCCTTCCCGAGGCAGCTGCTCACTTACCTGTGTACCCAGGCTGGCAGACACAGTCGTAGCGATTGATGCCATCACGACAGACACCAAAGGTGCAGGGGTTGCTGGCACAGTCATCGATATTCACCTCACAGTTCACACCTGGTGGAGGGGAACGTGGTTGGGACCATCCACAAGTGTGGCCCCTTTAGGTGCACCCAATCCAACCTCTTGTGCCCCTCCAAATGCAGTGTCGCTGTCCCAACCCGGCCCCCGGCCCCACCTGTGGTGCCTGGCGGGCATCGGCAGAGGTATTTGTCCACCAGATCTAGACATTTTCCCCCGTGGCGACAGGGCTGGCTGCGACACTCGTCCACCTGGCTCTCGCAGCGTGTGCCCGTGTAGCCTGGGGCACAGGCGCATGAGAAGCTGGCGATGCCATCCACACAGCGCCCATGGTGGCAAGGGTCTGGCGAGCAGTCGTCGATGTTCTGCTCACACAGGGTGCCCTCAAAGCCTGTGGGAAAGGAGAGTCAGGCTCCGCCCACTGCCTAGGTCCGCCCACACCAGTGGCTCTGTCCAATCCTAGCTCCGTCTTCCCTCAGGCCCCGCCCACACGGCCATCAAGAGGCGGGCTCCATTCAAGCCCCGCCTTGTAACTGCCAATCCATCCAGGTAAAAGCTCAGTGGTGCTTCCCTGGCCAAGACCGTCCCAAAGCTGCGGCCCTACCTCCGGTTCTTACACAATCAGCCCTGTTCCAATCATGACAGGAGGTGGGGTACAGGGGAAGTGCCTGGGAGGGACAGAGAGGTTTAGACCCACCCTCCTTTAGCTAAATTAGATCTGGACCCTGTCGGGCCCTTTGACCCTCTCCAAGCTTTTTCAAGGCCTATGTCCACCACTGGCTCCTTCCCTAATCTGCCATTGGCTGCAACCTCCTCCTATCTGTGCCTGTGTCCATCATTGGCCCCACCCATGCTCAGCCTTCCTGCAGCCTTTTTCAGCACTGCCAGGCCCCAAGATATCTCCAGATTCCTCACCCTCTGCGCAGCGGCACTCGTAGCCGTCGGGCTGGTCCACGCACTTGGCACCGTTTCTGCAGGGCGTGCTGGCACACTCATCCACATCCAGCTGACACGTGGCCCCACTGAAGCCTAGAGGAATGGGGAGAGGGGAAGGGCGACCAAGGTAGGGTCGCTCAGAACCAGCTCTGCTGCCTATTTGGAACTGGTACCCCTATTTACTGGTTTTAAACGAATTTCAAAGTTTTACACACCATGTGGTTTCTATGTTAAATTGTTACCCTCTAGTGTGACTTTAAGGGAACTCTGGTGGCTTAATAGTAAGGAGCTGTGCTGCCAACCCAAAGACATGAGGTTCAAATCCACCAGCTGCTCTGCTGGAGAAAGATGAATAAAATCAACTCCTCTGAGATTTAATGTCTCTTAAAACCTGCTGGAGGTACACCAGTGTTCAAAACAGTGTTATTCAGCATTGTAAGAACATGGAAACAGCCCAAATGTTCAACCACATAACTGAGAAATTATGGTACTTTCCCACAATGGAATACTATGCAGCACATAGGAACAATGATTTTATAAATTACTACCTAACATGGGAGGGACCGGAGAGCATTATGCTAAGTGAACTAACTCAGTCTCATAAAGACAAATACTGTATAAGACCATTATTGTAGACGTGTATGAGGATCCAAGGGGGCCGGGCTTAATCATAGGGTCACTAAATTTAATGGGTGGAGGGAGGGGTGGGTAAAGGAAAGGGGAAAGATCCCCCGTGAAAAAACAATGTATATGAACTTTCTAAGTAAACCAGTATAAAATGAACAAAAAACAAAAACCTGCTGGAGGGTCAGCTATGAGTTGGTTCTGACAGCAAGACTTTATATTTACTTCTGGCCACACCCCCTCCCAGGCCCATCCATCCTGGCTCACTCTCCAAGCCCCCCAGGGAGCTTACCTGAGGGACAGGTACAGCTGAAGCCATTGACCCGGTCCTTGCAGATGCCACCGTTGACACATGGACTGCTCTGACACTCATCGATGTCCACCTCACAAAAGGTGCCTGTGAAACCTGAGACGAAAAGGATCAGGTCAATGGTATTCCCAGGGGGGTTGAGGGGACTCAAAAGGGAAGATGGTCTCCCTCCTTGATTATGGACTGGCCTCTTGGAGCTCCACCCCATCATCAGTCCTGACCTAGTTTCCAGATTTGTCCTCACTCATCCAAGTTCCCAACTGGTCCTAGTTTCTCCATAGTCTGGTTCTTCAGGGCCTTCCGCCAGGGCAAAGTGCAGGCCATGCCCCCAAGCCTAGGCTTAGACTACAGGCTCCACCTTACTCACCTCCTTCATCCAGTCCTCACCACCATCACGTAAGCCCCAGGGGACTCTCCAGTCCAAAACCTCCAGAGGCTCGTCCATTTAGTCTTTCCCTCAGCAGCACCCACAATTCTACTGTCCCAGGCTCTGTCCTCAGTCTCTCCAATAGTCCCCTATGCCCAGCCCCACCCTATGCCCTCCCTCTCTCTGCCTCAGCTTCTGGCATCACCAGGCTCTGCCCTGGCCTTGCCCCATCACACACCTGCCATGCAGATGCAGGTGAACTGGCCAATGCGGTCCAGACACGTGGCCTGGTTGCGGCAAGGCCCCGACAAGCACTCGTTGATGTCGGTCTCACAGCGGGGGCCTGTGTAGCCTCGCCCGCACTGGCACAGGAAGGAGCCCTGGGTGTTCACGCACCTGCCCAGGTGTTCACAGGGGTTGGCTCCTGGAAAAGGAGGGACATTCAGCATGGATGTGAGCTCTCCAGGCCTCGCTCCTTGCCACCCACACCTAGACCATGCCCCTCACCTATGGAGCACTCATCCACATCCTGGTCACATGCCCCTCCTGTAAAGCCTGCGGGACAGGTGCAGATGGCCCGGCCGTTCACAGGGTTGGTGTCACAGATGGCGTCCTCATGACAAGGATTGCTGACACAGGCGTCATCCAGGTGGCACAAGAGCCCTGAAATAGGGGCAAGCAGAGCTCAGCAACAAACCTTCCAAGTCTGTGTAGAGGTTTCAAACCCCCCTATAATTTTGCTTTTGTTTTTTGTTTAATCTACAGTGTATTTGGTTGTTGTTATATGCCATCAAATCAACTGTGACTCATAGCAACCCTATGAACAACAGCTCTCAACTCTGCCCTATCCTTTTAATTATGTACAAGCATTTATTCAAATTTTCAAATATACAGGAAAGTTGATAAATCACATACCTATCACTTTTAGGTTCAGACCTGTTTTTCATGGGGCCACTATGGGTCGTACTAGACTTGATGGCATCCAACAACAATGACTTTTATTCCACTCTAGTTTGTGTATGTTGTTTTACAGTGTTATAAATAAATCTACTTTATCTTTATTCCATCAGGGAGTTCTGGTGGCATAGTCTATGGTGAGTTGTGCTGCCTCTCCAGCGGTTCAAATCCACCTGTAGTCCCGCAAGAGAAAGATGGATAATCTCCTCCTGTGAGGTTTCCAGCCTTGGAAATCCAACGGCCGGTCAGCTGAGTCAGACCAGTCCGTCATTTTTCTAACTACCCATTACCTATATAACAATCTTATCTTTTGGAGAAAACTACTTGAAAATGTCTACTCTTTGTTTTTAACCCTACAGAGGCTTCTTCTAGTTATAAAAAGGTCCTCCCCTTTGCCTGTGCAGACCTCTCTGCCTGGCCCGCTCTTGCTTCTATCTCCAAGTTCCCCTCCTCAAATCCCTTCTCCGACCCTTGTCCTTCTGAAAGGTCCCCTTCACTAGAAGATATGCTCTGCTTTCTCTGTTGCTGTTGCCATCGAGTGAGCAACCCCAGACACAATGGCATGAAGCTGAGTTCTATACTATCTCGGTGATTAGTTGTGAATCAGTTCACTATAGCCCAAAGGGTTTTCATGTGCTTATTTCAGAGTTAGATCACCAGGTCTTTCTTTCTGTTCTGCCCTCATTTGGAAGTCCTGCTGACATATGCTCACCATCATAGCAACACAAAAGTCTCCACTGGTAAGATAGGTAGGTGGTGAGTGGAGATGCATTAACTGGCCTAGAACCTGGGTCTCCCATATGGAAGGTGAGAATGCTACCTTTCTCAGTTATTCCGCCTGTTAGGTGCCAAGATGTGAAACCTGTCCTACTCTGTGCCATGCTCACAATTTCTGACACACTCGAGCCCATTGCTACAGTCCCTGTGTCTGTCCACCTGGTTGAGGATCTTTCCTCTCCTTCGCCATCCTTCCAGCCAGTGCTTCTCTATTCCCACGACTTCAGCCCCAGGTCAGCCACCTCCAAAGTCTCTTCCAGTCTCATCCTTCTCTCCAAACCCAATCTCTATCTAGCATAGTCTTCTACTACTCAAGGGAGACTCCACCCGTGCACCACTCAAGAACCATCTATGGCTCCCTCCTGCCCACAAGGAAGACAGTTACTCACCAGTCTTGCCCATGGGGCAGGCGCAGTAGAAGGAAGCCACTCGGTCATGGCAGGTGGCCCCGTGGAAGCACACGGCTGTGGCGCAGTCATCGATGTTCTGGCTGCAGCTCTCACCTGTCCAGCCGTTGACGCACACGCAGCTGTGCCCGCCCAGCATGTTGAAGCAGGTGCCCCCATTGTGGCAGGCGTTGGGCTGCAGCTGACACTCATCCACGTCCTCCGTGCAGAACTGGCCTATGTGGTAAACAGTCACCCCAGTCTAGCCACTTGGAGTGTGCCCTCTCCAGCTCTGCCACCCAGCTCCCTTCACCTCAGGGCCCACCTGTCCACTCAGGGGGGCACTGGCAGTTGTAGGTGTTCACACCATCCACACATGTCCCCCCGTTTAGGCACCGGTGTCCTGGACAGTCATCCACGTTCACTTCACAGTTTTGGCCCTCAAACCCTGGTATGGGGGAGAGGCAAGGGTTATTATGGACTGAATTATATTCCCCCCCCAAAAAAAATATGCACTATAAAATCTCAACACCTATCCCTATGGATATAATCCCATTTGGAATCTGGTTTTCTTAGTTATGTTAATAAAGTGGCTTGTGTGTGTGTGTGTGTGTGTGTGTGTGTGTGTGTACCGTCAAATCAGATCTGACTGGTACAGGAGGAGATTGTTCCTCCTTGTCCAGCAGAGCATCTGGTGGATTTGAACTGCACACCTCTGGGATTGCAGTGCAGCTTCTTGCCACTAAGCCACCAGAGCTCACCAAGCTATGGCATTTTAGGGTGTGTTTTAAGTCAATCCTTTTAAGGATATAAAAAGGGAAGATCTGGCACAAAAACAAAAAATCATGAATGGGGGAGATAGAAGCCTCATTAATATACCCATAGAACCGAACCAAGAGAAGATGAGTGAGAAAAGAATTCTCCTGCTGAGGGGAAAAAGCACCTCCCCTTGACACTGGCGCCTTCAATTCAGACTTCAGCATCCCGACCTGTGCTCCATGCCATAGGGTCACAACTGACTTAAAGGTGATGCAGGTTTTCTGAGGCTGTAAATCACATGGAAGGAGACTGCCCATCTTTCTTCACTGGCGACACTGGCTCCAGAGAGGTGGAACCTTTGGGCTAGCAAATCCCTACAGACTCCCCCACCAGAACCCTAAACTCTAAGAAAATAAATTTCAGTTCATGAGGGACACCCACTTGTATTTTTGTTACGAGACTAGGAAACTACCACAGGTTAGGCTGTTTCATAGAGTGAGGTAAGGAAAGGCCTCTCTGTGAGAGAGGGGAGCAGGGGGCTGCAGCGGGTCAGGGGAAGCCATCAAACAAAGTCCAAGGCCAAGTGGACCCAGGTACCGCCTCTGGCCCCTCCCTCCGACTCCCCTGGGCGCGGTGCACTCACCAGGGAGGCAAGCGCAGTCATAGGTGTGCTCGCCACTCTGTCGGCAGGTGCCCCCATTCCGGCAAGGCGATGGAGCACAGGGCACAGCGGGCTTCTCACACAGTGGCCCCGAGTAGCCAGCCGGGCACTGGCAGTGGAAGGAGCCAGGTGTGTTGAGACAGGTGGCCCCATGGCGGCAGGGCCCACCTGCCCGGCATTCATCGATGTCACTGCGACAGCTGCGGCCCTGGTAGCCCGTCGGGCAGGAGCAGACATAGCGTCCATCGGGCCCCACAGAGCAGCGGGCGCCATGGGCACAGGGGCTGCTGAGGCAGGGGTCCAGCAGGGAGCAATCGGGGCCTAGAAGGGCCAGTGGAGGTTGAGCTTGGGACTGGCCATATGCCTGCCTGACTGGGGCTCCCCTCCAGTATCCCCCTCACCTCGGAAACCACGAGGGCAGCGGCAGGAGTAGTGGGCAATGCCCGCCACCACCGAGCTCTGGCATACGCCGCGGCCGGCACAGGGGCCTGAATGGCAGGGGTCTTCCAGCTGACACTGCTCACCTACCCAGCCCGAAGGGCACCTGCAAGCAGAGGCAGGTTGGTGGGGGCAGGGCAAGAAGGCACAGAGACACACAAGGCAGGTAACAAAGCCTCAGGCACACAACACAACAAGCACACACACCCACTGACGCAAAAAAGATCTCCTGAGATTGTGTTAAGAACCCAAACATATCACCTATTGCCATCAAGGCAACTGCAACTCATGGTGACCTCACATGTGTCAAAAGAGAACTACACTCTATACCGTCTTCAGTGAGTACTTTTTTTATTACATCCCCCCCATTTTTTCCCTTTGCCATTTGAGTGAAAGTTACAAAGCAAATTCACCTCTTCATTTAACTATTCATACACATTTTGTTCTATAGAATGAATTTCTATACTCTGGTTTCTCTTCAGACCATATAAATCTTTTGCCTATTACTCTAACATTAATTTCTAGATCCACAATGAAGTCTCACTTTCCCTGCCTCCTCCCTTTAATTTTGAAGACGATAGAATGCCTCATGAATTTGCCTATCATCCTGGCCCAGAGATTATAAAGATATAATCGTCTTTATATCATTCCAATATTCGTAGCTTAAGTGAGCACTTAATGAGAGTATTTTACACAGATAGATTGCCAAGCCTTCTCTGGAGGTACCTGGGGTGGGCTCAAATCATCAACCCTCTGATTAGCAGCCACGTGGAAACTATTTGCGTCATCTTATTAGAGACTTACTAGGAAGACAGCCACAAACGGAAGTGATTCTCAAGGCCTCGGCTCTGTGGGCTTAAGTGGTAAAGACTTGCACTGCCAATCCAAAAGCATGCAGTTCAAATCCACCAGGCAGCGCCACAGAAGAAAGATGGACAATCTCCTTCCATGTAATTAACTACTCTGAAAACCTACTGGAAAGACAGCTATGAGCTGGTTCCAACTCGACAGTACGTAACAACTCAACATCAACCCCTTGGTGGAGTTCTTGGGTTGTGAGCATTAAGTGCTCAATTACTCTTTGAAAGGCTGGTGGTTCAAATCTACCCAGAGGTACCTCTGAAGGCAGGCCTAGTGACTACTTCTGAAAGATCACAGCCATGAAAACCCTATGGAGCAGTTCTCCTCTGTACATACGGGGTCACCGTGAGTGAGAGCCAGCTCAACACAACTCTCAGCATTCCCTCTTGATGCCCAGAGCCAGACCAGACAAAGAGAAGTCCACGATAATGAATATTTAACACGGCAACACGCAGGGTAATGAATATTTAACACCACAACAGGCAGAGGCGCTGAATGGAGTGAGCAGAGAGGCCCCTCAAAAAAGTTAGAGCCCTATCCCAGAACCTGAGAACAGGACCTTATTTCATTGAAAAAAAAAAAAAAAAGCTTTTGCAGACATAATTAAGGATCTCCAATGAGATCATACTGGATTATCCAGGTGAGCTCCACATTCAAAAGCCAGTGTCCTTCAACAAGACCAAAGGCAGAGAAGGCAATCATGTGACCACACATCACTGGAGTGATGCCACCACAAGCCCAAAGCTGCCTGGAGCCACCAGAAGCAGGGAGAGGCAAGGGAGGATCCTCCCGAGAGCCTGGGGAGGGAGTTTAGCCTTGCTGACACCCTTGTTTTGGACTGCTTGCCTCCAAACTGGGAGAGAACGGATATCTGTTGGTTTTTTTGTGTTTCAAGGGTTTTTTTTTAATTTTAAATTGACTTTAATGAAAGTTTACAGAGGCTTTGGATTTCCATTCATTCATTGTTGCACTTTTCTCCCTGCCCACCCCTCCCCCCATTCGCTTTTCTTTTTGAAAAATAAAACAAAAAATGCTTTCATTGTTATTCAATCCCTCCCCCCAAATCCACTCCACTATGCTACCTTCGTTCTGGACTCCTGTCATGACAATAATATATAATCATATATCCCTTTTAAGCAGTTCTCTCTCATGTTTCAGTGCAGTATACACTATTTATCCCATATGCCATTTGTAATGGAGGGCCCAGGAAGCTCACCCCATCAAGGTACAAAGGAGATAGTGATAGAGTGGGGCTGCTCTATGGAGTGGGGTCAGGAAAGGCCTCCCTGTGAGAGGGGACACCAAGGGAGATATGAGGAACAGTGTTCCCATCAGAAGAAAAAGCATGTGTAAAGCGAGTCCGAGAGACTCAAGAAAGACATGTGCACACCTGCATGTGTGCACACACAGAGACAAGACACAGATACCCACGAATGAACAAACATGAACCAGGTCCACACCTCTCACAAGGACAGGGTCACCTCCCACATGGCCTGACACGTGTTGTTGTTTTTGTTAGGAGTCACAGAATCGATTTTCTTTTTTCGAGTATCAGCCCCATGTGACAGAGTAGAATTACGCCCCCGTTTCCTAAGTTGTCAATATTGTGGAAGCAGACCACCGGGTCTTTCTCCTGTGGAGCCGAAGGACCCACCAATCTTGCCAATCTTTCGGTTAGCAGCTAAGCACTAAGCCTTTAGCCAAGGCTCCTTGGGGAGCCACTACCTCAAAGCGCCTCAACTTTTGGCCACTATCCTTTCTCCAAGGGAGGGAGGGGGGAACTGAGACATCATTGTCGTGATTCCTCTCATAAAGAGAAGATCAGTCGCTCTGCACGCAACTCCTTCGGACCACGAATGCAAGAGAAAATGAACGGAATTTGAGAACTGTTAGGAGAGGGGTCTTCGGACTGGAACAGCCTAAGGGGACTCGGAGGGTCAAAGGGAGGAGCCTGGAGAAGAGAGAGGGTCCAGGCCCCGCCCCGGCCCTGCTCCTTCCACCCCACTCAGTCCTGCGCTCCGATCCCGCATCCCAACCCCCTCTTTCTTCCCTTTCCCTGACGCCTGGGGCTGAGCTCAAGCAAGTAGCTGACTCAGTCGGCGTCACCTACAAAATCCCCCCACCCCAGCCCCCAGCGGGGCAGGTCCTGGCATGGCCAGGCCTGAGAGTGAGAGAGTGACGCCAGAAAGAAGGGGGGGGTCCACTTTCGGCCCCCTCCCCAAAGACCCCTCGGGGCGCCGCCGGCCGCCAGGACTGTGCACCGGGAGAGGGCGCGCTGCGTTCGGACGCACTGCGCGGCCCGTGCCATCCAGCTAGGCGCGGCCTGCCCGCCCCCTCTCGACGCCGCGGGCGGGTTCCCACGCTCCGCGCCCCGCGCCCCCGCCGACCGGTCGGGCCGGTTCCAGCCCCCGCCCGCGCCCCGCCCCACGGCTTGGGCTTTGGGGGAGACTCGGTGGACGCTGAGGGGGGGGCACAATTGGGGGGACCCACTGGGAGGCGAGAGGTTAGAGTTAGGGACCAGAGCGTGGGAGGCTCTTGGGCTGGGGAGACTAAGGCGTTCCAAGAGAAGCGAGGACAATTTGGGGTGTCCTCAAAAGGACAGGGATCTTTTGGACCTTGAAGGAGATTTATGGGGCCCCGTAGGGAGTGGTTCCCACGAGCCAGCTGGGGGTATTAAGCCTGCTCCGCTCCGGCAGATCCAGACTCCGGGCGGCCGCGCGCACCGGTGATTCACCTGTCAAGGGGGCGGGCCAGCCGCGGGCGTATTCACCTGTCGGCAGTAGTCCAGGTGCAGAGCCCTACTGCGCAGGCGCCCGGTCCTACCGCGACTCCACCTCCCAAGTGAGTGGTTTTAGGTCGCCACTTTACCCTACTCCCACCACCGCCTCCCCAGAAACTCCCTGGGCCAGGCTCTGCCCCCACCCAGGTGAGTCCAGGTGCGGCTGCGGCCGAAAGAACTGCCTGTGTAACTTGTGAGAGATTCCCTTAAAAATAGTCACCCCAGATTATCCAGCTTGGGCTGCGCTCGGTGCCTGGCACACACACACTGTTGAATAAATGAATACATTAACAAACCCATTCATGGCTGCTGAGTGAACAGCTATTAATAGTGAAAACCTTAGAAAGGAGCCATGTCTTCTAACCAACCATAGGAGAGGTTCCCCACGTGTCATCTAGTCCCAGGGTCCCTAACATTATCCCTGTGCATTGAGGGTTTACCTTCGTGGTCTATGCCAGTCTCTGTTAATCTTTACATTTAGTCTTAGAAAGGAAGAGCTATTGTGGTTGTTTGCCACGGAGTCGACTGTGACTTACAGCAAGCCCGTAAGACACCGACGAACTGCGGTTTCTTAGACTGTAATCTTTATCAGAGCAGATTGTCAGATCTTTTCTCCCCTATAGACTGGTGGGTTTAAACCACCAACCTTTGGCATCGCAGCAGAACACTAACCGCTGTGCCACCATTGTTCCTTGAGGAGCTTTTTACTGACCCATCTTCCAGATGCAAAAGGTGAGCTGCTCAAACCACTTGCCCAAAGGATCCCCAAGCCAAGCCCAGAATGTAAACACATCTGGCTCTGCTCACCTCTTGTCCAGCCCCCTGCCTGCCTCCCTCCAGCCCTTGGCCTTTCTATTATCCAGCGTCAGAATTCTTGGGCCCCCGGCAGAGTCCACAAGCCAGGGAGATATTCCTAGGTTACAAATGCAGAGCAGTTCAGAAGATGGAAATGATTAGCCCTAGGTTATACAGCCAGAGTGCAGCAGAGTCACCTGCAGATTCCGTAGACATGGGAGGATACTGACGGTACCCACACCACTACCACACTACCAAGTGAGTGGTTCCTAAATGTTTGTTGATTGAATAGTAAACCCTCTCCATCCATGTGATTTTTCTACATATGATTCTGTGAGCTGGAATTACCAGTAAAACCTACTGAGGTCCCCTCAATTCGTGCCAACCACCATGTGAGTCAAGAATAGAATGGGCTTCATACTGTTTTCAGTGGCTGATTTTTCAGAAGCAGCTCACCAGGCCTTTCTTCTGAGGCACCTCTGAGGGTAGGGGGGGCGCTCAAACTTCCAACCTTTGGCTAGCAGCTGAGCACTTACTCATTTGCACCGCTCAGGGACTCCTGACATTAGGAGTAAACAAAAAACCTATGTCCATCAGTTGATTTCAAGCCATGGAAAGAAACCCCGTGTGCAACAGCATAGAACTGCATGCCAGAACTGCATGCCAGAGAGTTTTCCTATGATTTTTTTTGAGGTGGATCACCAGGGTGCCTCTGGATGGATTCAGACTTCTAAATTTTCGATAGCCAACCAAGCACATTAATCATATGCAGTACCCAGGGATCCCTGAATTTAATTAATGGACCCATATTCCAGACGGAGGACCTAGGGTATATACATCCGAGGCAGCCAACGTGATGTGGGATTTAAGCCCAGGCTGGATGGACTCCAGAGCCTAATCGTACTCTATTCCTAAGAAGCAAACAAGAGGTTTCATCACTGTTGCCCAAGGCCACTAGCACTGGCAAAAGACAAATTACCCCCTCCCCTTCCACCACTGAGCCTCAGCCCACTGAGGGCTCCACGACTCACAGACAGACAGTCTCCCTCGTGGGCAGCTGGGTGCAACGACCTCCATTCACACACTGGCTCTCATCCAGGCAAGGGGAGGCTGTGGGGGGTGGGAAAGGAAGGTGAGGGTCAGCCAGGCATCCAGAAAACCCTGCCTAGAGTGGCAGGCTCCCTCCCTCCCTCCCCCAGACAACAGCTGCACTAGGCGGGGGTGTCACCTTGAGTTCAGGGAGCCCCCCTACCCACAGTTCCCACGCCCCCCCATGCCTCAGCCCAGCTGTTTGGGCTGCAGCTGTCCCTGCCAACTCTAACCCTGGGAACCCACAAAGCAGGGCGGGCAGGAGGTGGGGCCGCCTGTGCCAGATGTGGGGGCTCAGGAAGCTGCCAGAGCTGAAAACGTGCAGGATGGGGGTACCAGGGCAGGAAATGCTAGCAGGAGGGTTGCCGCTGTGGGACTGGGTCCTGGAGTCACCGTGGCAGGGGGCAGGGAAGTGAGGAGGGGGCCTGCATTGGATGGTACTTCCCCTGCTATTTTCCATCAACTCTACAGGAGCACGTACCCAGCAGGGTGTCAGGGTTCTGGCTCCCTGTGGGCAGCCCAGCCACTCCCAGGACAGCTAACACTGGGCACTGCTTGGGTGGAGCATGTGTGAAAGGGAGGAGCAGTTGGCCCAAGATGTGTGCTGCCCTGTCCAGCGTCCTCATCCCTGAAAGCTATGTCCCTTGGGGGTGTGGCTCCTTCTAACTGTCCCACAGAATGAGGCAGGGCTGGGTGTGAAAGAGCAAGTGGAGAATGGCGTACACATTAATGCGTGTGCATGTGCAAATATGCCTGTGTGCAAAGGTATGAGAACATGCATGGTGCCTGTGTGCACCCAAAGAGGGGATTGTGAACAGAGGCAGAGATGAAAGAAACCAGAAGCTGACACAGAGAGTTGGAGTGGAAAAGTGTCAACATAGCAAGGGGACAAGTTGACAGAACCCTGTCTCCCAGATGGGGCCTGTGGGTGTTTGTGAATTCACTTTGGAAGGACCCTCACAGGAGTGTGTGGGCTGCACTGATCCGCGGTCAGTGTGACTTGTGTGAGGTGTGCACGTGAGTTAGCAATGTGTGAACTGTGTCTGGACTCAGGTGTGCATGCTGCGTCCATGTGCACGTACATGTGGACACCCAGGCACAAGAGCACACACCTGAGCATGCTACATGTGTGCAGCCTGGCGTGCATATCTGTGTGTGAGCTATGTGGGTGCAAGGGTGGCTGTATGTCTGTGTGAACTATTGATGCAAGCATATCTGGGGTGCTGTATTAGTGTATACATGTGAGAGCTAAGTACGGACATGCCCTTGCACTGGTGTCCCTGTGCGTCTGAGGTGCGCGAGGGACATGCACATGTGTGCTCTCATGTGTCAGTGTGTGCTGTGACTCTTGAGTGTGTCCATGTGTGAGCCAGGTGTGCACATTTGCATTTCTGTGTGTGTGAAGAGACTCGGGCTTCTTGTGCCTGTGAGCCTGTGACAGGCCATGTGTGTGTCTCAGACCGCGGGGGCGGCCGCTCCTGCCCAGTCCTGCCTTGATCTCAGGGCCCCCAGGGCTGGGGAAAGGAGGTCATTCCCACCCCCACGCCACCGCCACCGAGCCCCAGCGCCCAGCCCCCTGCGGTGCCTCGGGACCCTGGGTTGGGGCTCGGCCCCGCGCCCTTCCCCCGCCAGTCCGGCCTCCCGTGGGGGGCGCCCCTGCAGCCCCCGCCAGGCCCCGAAGCTCGGCCCGCTTTGTCTGGCAAAGAAAGCGCGAGGCCGGCCTGGGGGAGGGGGTGTCTAGACGGCGCGGCCATTGTCCCGGTCCATGGAGGAGAGGGCGGGCGGGGGAGGGGCGGGGGGCCCCGGTCGCGGAGGAGGGGGCGCTGAAGCCCTAGGGGAGCACGTGGCCCCGTGCCCCCTCCCGTCCCGGCGCGGGGGGCGGGTCCCGGGGTCGTCGCGGCTGGGGGAGGGCTGGGCGAGGGCAGGGGCGCGGGCGGCTCCGGCTCCGCTCCGGGTCTTGGCGCGCGCCGGCCTGGGAAGTTTTCTCCGAGTTGAGCGCTCCAAGAACTTCGCGCCCCCTCCCCGCCCCCCGCGCGGCCGGGCCTCCAGGGATGGAAGGGGGGCTTTGTGCAGGCTGGGGACACCCCCGCCTGTGGGCACCCATGGTCTAGGGTCCTGGAGGCCCTGGTTATGACCTTCCTAGGACTCCAGGCGGAGCTGGGATGGAGCGAACCCAGACTCTCGGGATACTCCAGTTTTGAGTCCCTGACGCCTAAACTTCGAGTCCTCAATCCCAGACTCCTGAGTTCCTTCATCCTCAGCCTCGATAGCTGCTGAGCTTTCGTTCCTCGAACCCGTAAGCTTCTGCCTCGACCCCTATTTTGCGCCCCCGCGCCCCCAGGGACTGCCACGCGGCTACCGGACACCAATTCCCCTGGCTCCGATCGAGGTTGCTGGTTCCAGGCCGCTGGCCCCAGGCTAGTGGGTCCTGGCGCTGCCCCCGTCCCGCCCTCCGGGTCCCAGCCCTCACCTGCAGCCCCCGGCCCCGCGAGCAGCAGCAGCAGAGGCAGCACCCGCACGGGGGGCGGCGACGATATCGGGAGGCGGTGGCGGCGG